AGCTAACCTCTCCATTTAACTGGCCTTTCAATCCTCCTTATCCAATGCGTTCGTTAGTACTCCACCCACAGATGTCGAACATCACTGGAATTTCTTGCAGAAGGCGTTGTTTTCTTCCATTCAACCATACTGTGGAATCGCTGGGCCTCCTCTGAGAGGCTGGGTCTCTGTTCGCTCACTGGACTTGTTTGACTGTCGCCGAGCTATCCTAGCTGATTCAAGCTGCGAGGAAGTCCGTCGCAACCTCAGCCAACAACTCAAACGAAGCATGCGTAACGATCGGGAAACTTGGTGGTCTCCGCTGAATTCGGATATGAAGACAGCAACTCTGTCTGGGACTTTTCGCAAGCTTTTCAATTCCTTCGGACCACTGGCCACAGGAGACCTGGCGTCAGTGAAGCTATCTGCGAGGTTGGTAGATTACCAATTACTAATTTGCGTAGGCGCATGGGCCGCTGGGCTGAACACTTCCACTCTGAATTCATTTGCGCTCCTTCTGGTTGTTTAGCAAGTATGCCTAATTGCTTGCCTCGGAACGCTTCGCTGGAACTATCTACCGAAGCGAAGGTTGTCTTGAGCTCCATCACTTGATGCGATTCAGAGCTGCTGGCCAGATGGACTTCTTCCGGAGCTGCTCAAATACGGTGGCGCGACGATTGTCAACCAGCTCTGTTCTCCAAGATCTGGTGTGGATAAATGGTTCCACTCCCTTACAGTGAGTCGATTATCGTACAAATGCGCCAACTACATGAATCAATCTCATATTCGTCGCCTCCGAATTGCTAACCTTCATTCTACTGCGCAGACCGCCAACAATTTGGGAACTACACTCTCGTTCTAAGCTAGCTGGTTTCCGCCCCGGTCGTGAGTGTGTGGATTACATGTTTACGCTCCGCCAACTCCTCGAACAGCGCCACCTTTATTGCCAGCCTACCATTGTTGCCTTTTTGTCCATCCTAGCTGCATTCGACTCGGTCGACCGGTATCGTGTGCCAAGGAATGAGATACCTGAAAACTAAACCGCCATATTTCAAGCTTCCTACAAAATTTGTCTATAGTGCTACGAAGGCTTATGGAAAACTCTCTTCACCCTTCGCCGTCACTATCGCTATGCAACAGATATGCCCCATGACCCGTTTTCTTAGCTTTGCGAGTATGTCCTATTAAGCGCTCTGGGATGTCTCTAGGGCTCTAGCTTAGAGGTTCTTCCAGCTAGCCGCGCGACTGACTTGGACTATCCTGATGACATTGTCTTACTCAGTGACCACTCACAGATCATGCACCTTGTTCTAAACCGCTTAGTGATTGCAGATACCAAGCACGGAATGATCTTTGCCCCATCGAAAAGCATGGTCCTAATCCAGGCTTGGCACCCACCCGCCCCCGTGCTGATTCTTGAATGACATGCAGCTTGAAAAAGCAAATCGCTTCATCCAACTTGGGGGCTGCGTTTTTTCAGATGGCACTATTAGCAGATCGATTACTCTCAGTATTGCCAAAGCCCGAATAGTTTTCGCTGATCTGAGGCATCTTTGGTGTTGTCCTGGCGTTTTACTCACGGCAAAGTGCTGGGTGTACCATGCTTGTATTCTCGTAGTCCTGATTTACGGGTCATCATCATCATCGTCCGCAACAGTACATCATCCATTTGAGCTGGTGTTTCGCTGCCATACAACCATAAGGACCTACGGAACGAAGAATAATAAGTGAGGAAGAAGGGGGACTTACCGGAGAACCGTAATGTCCAAGCAAACATACAGAGTCAAGGCGCATACACCTTGCCAACAACATGCCATCACAAACAGATGGCTATCGTGTAAAGATAAGGCGACTTCGGCGAGGCAGGTTTCTTGCGCTTTTCACTGCTTCGCGTTATAATCAGCCATAACCACGCAGATGACTCAGCAACAGACACACTTTAAACAGACAGTCTGACTAGGAGACATCAGCAGACACTCCACTGGTGTCGACTGCGAGTTAAGTCCTGTAAAGTCTCGAGCCAAGCACAAGGCGAGTCATTTGTCCTCCACTCTGGAGGGCGAGATGGACCGACGGCACCCAGTTTGGTCATCACTGATTTCATTCTCTGCTGTCAGGTCAACTTTTGTCCACCTCAAGCCATGCGTCACCCTACATCTGGCAAACAAAACAAGGCCTTCCTCGGTAAACTATGTCCAGTCATAAGTAGTACGTGCCCACGCCAATGGAACATTTTCAGTGTTCTATCGAACTAGCTTGGTTTTCATTGCCTAGTACCCGCCTACACACATCATCGTTGTGGATACGCTGGTGCTACCAGACACCAGCAATGCTTCGCTGACTACGATGATCAGACTTGGATTCGCTTCAGACCGAAAGCGCTAAGTCTCATCCTTTGAGTAGGATAGCTCTCACTATGGCCTTGTAAACGCGGTATTTCAAGCGGAAGAGAGTTCAGGATGATCTGTGTAAGTGATTTGCGTCGAATTTCGGTCTTTTACAACGGTTGTTTGCAGAGGATAGCTCATGTGTACTGGGAACACCACTTGCAATGACAATGTTAGATGTCGCGTCCTCTCGATAAGCTAATGTCGCTGCGCCAACTGAGAGGTGGCTATGTTGCGTCCTACTCATGTCGTGCTATCGTTTGTCTTTGCGCCCTCTATTCGCTCGCGTAGGGCCGCGCCAGAAGAAATCGCGCGGTGACTAACCTACCACATGACGACAAAACGTCAAGGCGCTGACTTCCAGTCTAGCTGTTATTAGCCATCTTCCAGGCTGGGAGTCAGAAATGGAAACCGTTGGTCGGCGACTCTTGAAGGCCCTCACTTCGAAGCTGGCGTCAGTTGGGGTCCGAAAGACGATGAACACGTTTGGCTGGATACACTTGTTGATATGACTAGGAGCCGACCTCAGTGGCGCTCGTGCTGTGAGTTTCTTTGTCCCACCCTATCCCTCTTAGCCTCCCCCTCCAACCACCATCTCATTATTTAGCATTTTATAATTTTGCATAGGAGATTACCTTTTTGCTGCATAGTAGTCGGATGTTAGCTTAACGGAACGATGCCCATCCGTTGCCGGTATCTCGGTTGGTTTGTACCTGTTGCATTTTGTTCCCTTTTTCTTTTATGTATTTCGGCACAGTAGCTGAGGTGTTTCCCACCTCTAGCTAACGGGCATTGTGTGTGTGTGTGTGTGTGTGTGTGTGTGTGCTCGGCGACTCTTGATGACATGGCGCCTGATCGGGGGTCAGTGAAACGTTTGCATAAGTCTGTGCATTGATTCTACTAACCAACATGGTAATCACTAAACTGACAACGAATAGACAAGACGGTGTGTGAAAAATGCAAAAAGAATTTTTCTTTAGCTATTTTCTATTTTGTGGTCTTTGGACTTATTTCACACATTTATTCGATGGCTTTCGATGACTCGATGTCTATTCTATAGACAGCTGCTAAAAAACAGAACTGAGTACTGCTCTGCAATTAGTATCATTAAGCTTTATAAACAATATTGATGTCGTCAGCATACTAGAATGTTCTACAATGTTTGATGGATACGCTGATATGGTTAATATTCTATAGGAAAAGTGATCAACTGAGTGCGCTCGCTTGGATGACAGCACCAGTTACTGGCCGTGCGGTAAATTGCTGTTCACTTTTGACTGTCTGGGAATGCCCATTCTTACACGAACTTTGTCTCTGATCCCAAAAGACCCGATTTTTTCAGTTGCAGCTTGTGAGGCACCGGTTCGAATGCCTTCTGTGTGCCCAGAAAATAAATGTTTGATAACTACCTAACTAGAGTTGCTGGATCCTGTGATGTAATCGAGGTAGTGCAACTAACAAGTTGCGCAGGAACGTTTATCGAAGAACCCATGTTGAGATTCGTTTAGCAGTGCAAAACGATAGCTAAAGCTCATCATTCCTCTTGCTTGCCGATGGGGTAAACATGTTCAGCACAAGCAACGGTACATTACGTCCCTCTACATTGATGGCGGATTGGGTGAATATCATCGGAATCCAGCTTAATCTATGGTTTAATGAACTTCATCGTCTGTTATATATTCGAAATAGTAATCTCGACCTTGTATAGGACGCTTGCTGTTGTAATTTCCGGGAGGCTATAAATTCAGTTTATAGGTTCATGATAGAAGAAAAAAACTAAACGTTTCACACAAATATTGTGTGAGCTGTTATGGTGTCGACCCTCGTAAATAAGTTCCGTGATCGTAGACGCTCTATCGGTACTTCGACAACGGACTAATTTTATTGGTTCCTTTTTTTACATACCATCGGTAAGGCGTTCTCCTCCTCCTTTTTAATCCCCATCACTTGTGAACGTTTGGTGCAGACGATGGAGTCGGGCAATTGTAATATTAGTTAAGTCTAGTCTTTTTGAGTTTCGTAGCTAGTTTTTCCGTCTTCAAGTCAATCCAAGTCTCACTTGAATTCTTAGGAACTACACGTTTATGTTATGAAACAAGTATGACTATGGTACGATGGATCTGGTGGTAGAACTGTTCCATTGCAGTGCAGACGCTAGTAGAGAGAACAAAAAGCATTTTGTTTGGAAGATCGGGCTAGCTTTTGGAAATACACCCATTCACTCTTATGGATACTACATTAGAATAATCTGCGAACGAGCGTTCGTATTTCTGTTTTTCATCCTTGAGCGTCAACACTGGCGACTACAATTTAGCATTCCTAATGCGGCCATATATGTTACTTGACGTCACAGGTCATTTTTGAATGTTGGTCTTAATCAATCTGTTTCTAGGGACAATAATTACGGTAGCCAAAAACATGTCCTGTTCTGTGTCGTTACGCTTTCACATGTCTCCAGCATTTCAACTTATAATTGTAATCCCATAGTTGATGCGTTCCACCTGTTTATTTTGAGGCACGCAATTCACTCGATAGCATTTTATTCTGGTGTATCTTGTGGGTTGTTTATACATTTCTGATCCTCTCTGAGGAGGCGTGCTTCTCGTTAATTCAGTTCCTTCGTTTTCACTTGTAGCATTGGCTGGCTCGATCTTAACGCATTTTGCATCGGAAGCACTTTTCACTTTGATAACATGACTGCTGTAGCGAATGGCGGTGAATCGACTGTCACTTTCTGCGGATTAGGACTGAAGCTTGACAAGGCGGAGGATTCTGATGCAATAGTTTCTGAAATTAGAAAGAATCAAGGAATGTCAGTTCTTAGTTTGGGTGGTAACACCCTTGGAGTCGCTGCTGCCAAACCAATCGGATCAGCTTTGTGCAAATGCTCCTCCTTAAAACGTTGCATCCTCAATGATCTTTTCACAGGTGAGTTGGTCTTGGCTGTGATGGTTCTCGGGCTTCCCTGTTAGAAGGTCAATAAATTCTTTGTGGGATGCCCATCTGGTTCTGTTCTCCCACTACATTTTTTGCAACGTGTATACATCTACCATTTGGCTACAACTTCGGTTGTGGGTCGTGTCTACCCTTTTGGACTGACATTATCTTCACAATCTAAAAATCTAGAGCACTTGACTTGATGTTGACGACTACTCATCCATCAACTGTCACTTGGGATCTTTCCACTCTCAACCCCGAATTTCGTATAGTAGCTTTACTTGGCCACCATTGCAACTCTCAAGTACTAACGTCTTGCATAGCATATTGATCATGTATGGCATTACACCTGTGACAGCCACCACTCTCTGCGTATAACACGCTTCGATAACCGTAAAAGTTGAGGTTGTGGTGTTCTGGTTATACTTTCTATTTCTCCCCATAAATATGCCCTCACAAACAGACAAAGGTCACTCGTTTTTTCTTTGGCTTTAGTGACAGAACCTCTCAATATTAACAAACTCGTACCATATGTCATTTCAAATACCAGCTAATGTTACCATAAGCCAACACCTGCAGTCTGCATTATGGCTTCTTTGGTCATCTATAAAGCACAACTCGCTTATTCCATCCTTGCAATGAAAGCATTACATATTTTTAAAGCGTTGGAAAATAAGCAGTTGGTTCGTTTGTTTACTAACATGTTGCTTTTCAACCAGAGGTTTCATCGTTCTGCGTGTTTAACTAACACAGCACTTTTCAGCTTGACAGGTTGATAATTACGATGTCTATGCGAATCACTCGATGCATGCATTCACCTACCTGGTTATAACCCTGCTTGATACAACTAGTGTTGTCCATTTAATTAACTATACCTTTTATTGATACGCAAGGCCTTACTAATTCAGTTTATGTTAATTCAACTTACCAACCATGGTATGGACACTGAGATGCGGAGGATGACCCGACTAACTATGAAGCATTGCGTGCTTCAGGACGGGAAAATACAATCGCTCTATTAGAACTCGTCGGTGGGGCGTTTCCCCCGGATCATCCATGAGGGACCGGGCTCATGATTTCTCGGCATCAGCGGCTTACCCCCTCCCCCCCCCCCACCAGGCCGTTATGACTTACAAACTAACTGCAATGCAACCTGGCTGACTCCCCACTGTAGTTATAATTGTCTGTTGCAAGCAGCTGCCTAGTGGAATACGCCACTGACGTTAATGGTTCGTAGCTTCGGTTTCTGGTGGACTCGGTAGGTGCACACTACTGACCAGTCCCGATGAAACGAACCGGCCGTGCAGTACTTTTCCGGATGCATTGAAGGTACCGTTGGATTTTCAATAAATTATATCAACAATCCATCGCTACATTAAGAAACTTAGTGTGAATCAACAGCATCTGTGCCTTCGTGGCTGAGCTATTTTTCTTAAGAACTAGACTTGTTCACTGTTTATAGTTATAGCCTATTTTCCCACTTTAATGGTACGACTTAATCCTAACGCGCCGACTATTCCAGTGTCGCCTAATCGGCCTCCTGCTTTCCGAATTCACTCAGACTTCTGAGACGTTACCTCTCTTGGTTCGGCTAATCTAATAGATCGGTTTACATTATCTGGATGGCCTCGGGGCTTTTCTGCTCTTTATCAATAATCCCTTCCCAATTGATACTAACATTTTATTATCGCCCTTTCTGTTTTCATCCATTCTTCAAACGGACGGCCAGCTCTCATTGCCCTGCTGTGATCTTGTCTCACCTGACCTGTCTGTTTCTCTCTGACAGCTCGCATGCTACCCAGACTTAAGCGGTATAAGCTCTGCAGACTCAACGCTAAGCTTCCTTTACCTCGAAAGCTGCTAGACTTGTTCACCCTTTACTGTTATAGCCTTTGCGTACACTTTATTGTAGTCATATCTCCAACGCGCTGACTAATCTAGCTTTGCCTGATCGGCCTCCTGCTCTCCGAATTCACTCAAACTTCTGACACATTACCTCACTTATTTCGGCTGACATAATAGATCTGTTTACATTACCTGGATAGCCGCGTAGGCTTTTCCACTATCAATAAACCCTTTGAATGGTTAAAGGCAAATCTAATTCAGTTTAACACGGACAAGTGCAAAACCGTGCCTGTCCGCCATAAACCCACGTAAGTATATAAGCTTATAGACGATATGTTGAAAACCGCCTCACAAGAGCGAGACTTTGGGGGTGGTGATGAAAGACGCTCTCGGCTGTTCGGCGCAGCCCTTGAAAGTATCCTAAACCGCTGACCAACGTGTCGGTCTTTTTTGGAGGGCGTTAAGTAGGTTCAATCCCTTGAGTTTCTCCCAAATGTTCACTGCAAATGTCAGGCCTTATGTGGAGCACACGATCCAGACTTGACAACCCTAGTTAAAACGCGATCTAACTGCGCTGGAGACCGCACAGCGACGAGCAACGAAAAATGTAATGCGGTTGTCCCACTTGCAAAATATAGGCGACTGGGAGCCCTTGGAGTGTACAGCGGTCGATACCGCCACCTACGAGTCACCTCATCTTGACGTTCCAGATCTAGATAAGAACCGGTCACGCCTGCCGACACCTGCTGAATCATAGCCGCAACACGGAATCGCGGGATCATAAGTTAAATCTAGCCACCAAATAAGGTCGGCTGGAATGCTGCAGGAAATAATTTTCCTTTTGAGTTTGTTAACCGTGGAACGCTCCTTCGACTTTGGTCATTTCCGTGCCCACGCTATCCATTTCAAAATAAGAACTCGACGATGCTTTACATCACCTTCATTACTTGAGCCAATCTTTCTTCATTGAATGACGACATAGTGCTGGCAAACAATGTAGCCATCAACCCCACGAAATCGGGGTAGACAGAGATAACTTTGTGTTAAGGTGGATAAGATGGTGAGTCCACTGGCATTTTTCTCCGTACTGTACAATTGTTCCATTATCGCGCTCTCCGTTTTCAACTATTCATTCATCGGACTGCCAACTCTCAGTGCCCTACCCTTGTGTCATCTGACCAGACTCCTTCTATTTGACTGCTTCTAGACTCAATGCTATGTCTCACTCACATCATAACCTTGCTGGACATGCTCACTCCTTATCAATATAGATTCTTCCATATCTAACCCGTTTTTCTCTGCTGACTTTCTACTTGTTTTCAACCTTAACTGTACGACTCACTCTTGATACCTCGACTAATATAGTCTCGTTTGATCGGTCTCTCGCTTTCCGACTTCTCCAGACAACTGCGACGTTACCGACTAATTTTCGGAAGACCTAACGCTCTGTCCCCATTAGCACGAAAGTCTCGTTGACCTCTTCTCTCTTTTCATCCCATTCCTGTCTTCCCCGCATTGCGCTCTCTGCCTTCAGTCCTTCTTCAATCGGACTGCCAACTTTGAGCGCCGTGCCCTGACCTAGTTTCATCTGAGCAGTCTTCTGCTTTCTGACTGCGTCCAGACTACCGAGAAGTGAACAATCTACGCTCTGCATATCCAACGTATTGTTTCCTTCACTTTTGAGAGGCTTGCCGGCCATATCCACCCCTTAATACTATGGCCTCCTTAATCTCCATCCTGTCCATTTCTGCTGACCTTCACTATATGTGTTCCCACCAAAATTATCCGACATAATCAAATTGCGCCGACTAACTTAGTCTTGTCTAAACTGTCATCTGCTCCTACTTCTCCCAGAACTCAGTACCATTATCGATCTTGGTTTGGCAGCACCTTCGCTCTGTTCTACTCACGTCGAGATCCGTGTTGGTCTTATTTACCATTACTCCAAATAGGCTTCATCATCCAGAAACTGTCCTTTTCTGTTACCGCTTTACGTTTTTATTTCCACCTATACTGTACGGCTTAATCTCATTGCGGTGCACTAATCTAGCCTCGTGCATATGGTCACCTGCTCTCTGGCATCACATGGATCATTGCTGTCTAAGTGTTTCGCGGCTATCACTTCTTTTATTATGCCCGCCTTACCTCCCTTTTTAAGCATAAGCTGTTTACCTGGTTTTCGCGTTTGTCTTACATCCTGAATGTTGCTGTGTGTGCTTACTTCTTCCCTTTTCAATCGCACCTTACCCGGGCTAACGGCCCACAATGCAGGCACAGTTTTTGTCCCTTCAGTCCTCCCGATTCTTACGGCTTTCAGACAATGCAGTTATGAGCGCTTCAACGTCATTAGTCCCATTATCTGCTTATCTCACCTTTGCTCGCCTACATCCGTTCTTCACCGATTTTTTGCACTTCCCTTTTTCATTGGAACGCTGCTTTACAAACAGGCTGCTCCCTGCTTTCCATTTCAATGCAGTCGGCCTTAAGTTAATCCAAACTGCCACTCGCATTCTGATGGCTGTATTCATCTGTCTATCTCTTCTTCTCTCCAACAACCGTACTAATCGCTGTACCATGTAAACCCTCTTTGTTGCATCAGTCTTTTGACGGTACGCTTTGCACTACCTTCTCCCTACGCATTAGTTGCAAATATATAGGAACAAAACTATAAAGCATGCATACTAAACAAAATTACCCAGGCTTTAGTGTATCATAATGGCTAGGCATCATTGCATGCCATCAATCTTTCGTTAGTGCTTTTTGATACTATCCCATCTGTCTGTTTGAATGCCTCTAGTTCGTTGCCTATTTTTACCGAGATTTCCACAATTACATCGGCCGACGCAAGATGGTTCATCCTGTGGAACTGGCTGATCCATTTTTAATAGCCAGCTTGCTTAAACATTTTATCATTTCTCCTGGAAATGAAGAACAATTTATTTCTCTGAAGAATTCACTTATCGTTTCAAATGAAGCTCATTATCACCATTCTGGAGAGATGCCACTTTTACAGCTCTAAACAAGTTGGTTGCGCACGCCTCGCAAACACAGTACCATCAGTTGCTCACCTGAAAGCATATATTTACAGCGATCCTCTTGCATGACAGGTTTTTCAGTCGCGATTAACTTACATTGTCTCAGAGATC